GCTGACATGATGCCAAGTTTAACTTCTGCATTGCTGCAGCTGGTTTACATGGTGCAGGGGTTTCGGGTTTTTTTAATGTAGGACTCTGTTGACCCCTGTGCATGTTCAGTTTTAGTTAAATCAAAGGTGCAAAATGCATATGGAGTTCAGGAGCCTGCTGGATTTTTAGGTGTCTACTCCATTGAAGGCAAGAGCAAACACCAAATGTTGGGCACCAGTGGTAAATTCTAAGGTGCATTGGCTAGCTGGTTCTTGGGAATTTTCTAGCACTGAGTTAAATTCATGCAAAACCGGTGAAGATAAATGTCTAATTCTAGCCATTGACGCTAGACCTGAAAGCATAAGCAGTGATGATGCCTTTTGACTGGAATGGGACAGATCTCTTCATGATTTTAAATGCTCCAAAAGCATGAATGGGGCTTTACACACGGGTACTGAATGGCAGAGCAGATCTGGAGCCTCCATGATTCTGGGATATGTTCTGCCATGTTTGGAAATATTCTCTGGGTGGGGCGCATGCTGACGGGAGCTATAAAATGATTAGACCTGCAGCATTCAGTGCAGTCTAGACAGTGTTCCTGCACAGAAAGTTTTGCTAAGATTGAGGGTTTGGGTCGTATTTTTTCTTTTTTCTTTACACAACAGCGGTCTTATGTTTCAGCATTCTAAAGTCCTGATGTTTTATACATTTTATAGTTTACTATAGGAAGTGCCTGCCTTCCATGCTGGACTAATCTGTCATAGTTTAGCCGGTGGCACTAAGCCATTCTAGGTCATTACTGATCTTTGACTATTTGCTGTGGAGGAATAAGTGATCCAGATTAAAGCATGGAGCTTGACATCTGTGTATATATACAATGCGTTTGCTATATAGGCCGGGCCTCTGCATGTAACAATGAACAGGGGACGCTGCGCAGCCGGTGAACCCTTCTGATGTGAGAGCATGGATTACATGGTGGGGAGCCGCTTTTGTTTACCGTTTTATTCCTGTGCATGTCTCTGCATGCTTTTATTGTAATTCTGCCAGGAAGGAGATTGACTTGCGTTATAAGAGCTGAGTCACCGTGCCACATACTGGAATACAAGGAATTGCGCTTGTTTGTGTAAAATGCAATTAATAAAATAAATAAAAATGTATAAATTGCATTGCATTTTTTTTGTGTAATATGTACATGGGCCAGACTTCCTGTATTCAGGCTGTGCATACTGTTGGCCTGTGTCAATGTCTGACTGAAAGTACTCTGGTTATGTTATCTCAGGAATCATCAGGTCTGGTGCCAAAGGTGACAGCATTTGCCTGATATGGCCATTTGCAGACAAATGTTAATGTCTGTTGATCTGCTCTGGGTGAGGCAGACCTCTACTGTCCAAGCTTTCTTGGAAAAGAGGAAACCAACAAGTTAATCAATGAGAAAGTGGAAGACATGCACATTTTCTTGGGGTAACATGCAGGCTTTGTATCATCTTCTGAAAGGTTGTCTGGTGGCTGGATTATGTTTGCCTAGAGCAGGGGAAGGCAACCTCAGCACTCCAGCTGTTGTGGAACTAAAGGTCCCATGAGGCATTGCAAGAATCTGCCAGCCACTGGAATGACTGAGGTATGATGGGATTTGTAGTTTAACCACAGCTGAAGTGCTGAGGTTACCTATCCCTGGTCTAGAGGTTGCTTTAGTAATAGCAGTGAAATATTCAGATGAATTGTGTAATGCGAACTTATTTTACAACTGTCTTTCAGGGAAATAACTAGAGCTGCAGTTAACTATTATTTTCAAAATCGATTAGTTAGCCGATTTATTAAGTTCGATTAATCGGATTAAAATTTTTTTTTAAAAACGGCTCCAGTGATGGGACTACTAGTTTGTTTTGAGATTGTAGTCCATCACAGGAGCAAGCTTGGAGCGGTGGAAGTAAAAAAAAAAAAGTGTGTGCAATATAGTGAAATGAAAAGTGTAAAATTATACAGCAATGAATGCAGAATGGCACCGGCTATAGAGGAATACACAATTTAGATTACCACCAGCTATAGAGGAATACAACAAATCCCAGCAATAGTGCACTATAGCTGGCGGTATTCTGCATTGTGATGTATAATGTGCTACTGATGGGTGTTGTACTCCTCCTATAGCTGGTGGTATTGCGCTGTATAATGTAGTAGTGCTGGGATTTGTAGTCCTCTATACAGTGCAATGCAGAATACCACCAGCTATAGAGTACAACAAATCCCAGCAATACATTATACATACAGTGTAAAATGTATTGCTGGGATTTGTATTCCTTTATAGCTGATGGTATAATATACAGCACAATGTACCATCAGCTATAGAGGAATACAAATCCCAGCAATACATTATAGAGTACCATGTGGGGGAAAGTGCAGGCTTACCTGAGCAGTCTTCCAGCAACTGTTTCTGAGATCGGGCCTGTCACTCTACCGCCCACACCTGCTCCTCCTTACTTCTCCCCGCGTCCCTGTGCCGATTGGGATTTGGGCGGGCGGTGAGCGTGAGGCAGGGAGGAGGTGCGGCGTGGATGCGGGCGGGCAGGTCTGGCAACTGCGAGCGTGAGGTGGGGAGGAGGTGTGGCTCGCAGCGTGTGTGGAGCCGTGAACAGGGCCAACCAATCGGAAGACGATTAATCGATGATTGAAAAAGTTGACAACTTTTTCAATCATCGATTAGTTGTTGCAGCCCTAGAAATAACACATCTATTTAGGAGATTATCCTAAATGATTGCAGAGATTTTAATAGACACAGGCTCATTAGAAGTTAACTGGGATAGTTCTTGTGAACCTTGGCTCAGCGTTCTGTGCATTCTGACAGCATTATTTAACTGTTTATTTGATAATTGATGTTGTAACCTTGGTTGCATTGGCACAGCAGAGGAAGCTTGGCTAATAGAGACCTGTATTCAAAATATTTGTCAAGGCATTTGTGATTGCAGCAAGAATCTTTTATCATTGTTTCTTTTTATAAAACTGAAGGAAAAAAAAAAAAAAATCTGTGTCCACCATGGGGAAAATCACTGAAGCGACGGGACCGCAGTCACCACCATAGAGTAAAGCTAACAAATGGCGTCTTTTTTACTGTAGACAGCTCAGTCAATTTGACACTTTTTTATTTTATTTAGCACATTAAAATGCCAGATTTAGTAATCTGTAACAGACCTTCTCTAGTGAACATTTTAGGTATTTTAATTGTTAAATAGTTTTGTCTAGTTGGCTTTTTTACATTTTCATCTATTGGTTGCCGATGGGAGTGGTACAAACTTGCAGCAATAAAATCTTATTGATATAAGAAAAAACATTGTCTAATGCATTTTTTTTTCCCTAGGGTTGACTTTAATGTGCCTATGAAAAATAACCAGATCACAAACAACCAGAGGTAAGTAGCTAATAGCATTACTTAATTGATACACGTTTGTTTAGTGGGTTGTGTTTGGGGGGGGGGTTTCCCCACCTGGAATAGTAGTTTTTCTGAAGGTCTGGTCTGGATTCTGGATTTGGTGTGAACAAGCTTTCAGTTACAGATGGAAGGCTACTGGCCCATATGTGGACCTGTAGCATCTTCAGAGAAACAAAAGTATAGCTAAAGGTACCTTGTCTACTTTTTCCTACTAATTGGACCTTCTCAGATGCCAATCTTCAGAACCCTTGGAGATTATATATATATATCTATATCTATATCTATATCTTGAAAAATTTGGCGGTGTCTCACCAGTC